CAGATGGCTGTTTTTAGGACCACTATTTAACATATAGCTAAGGATTACAAAATATTTAAAACTTAGCCACCACAGAATCAAACTTTAGACCTCGAGTCTGATGTTGGTATATGAAGTTTCAAACTACATACCTTTGGGTGGAAGTTTGGCTTTGATAGTTCAAAACTTTCTGTGACACCCTAGGCGAATCCCACATCGATAAAACACAGGAGAGATGTTCGGTATATAAGTAGACATACCATAGACCTTAGTGACGCGTTTTAAAGTTGTGCGGGCCTAGGCCCAAAGCGGATAATATCACTAGTGGGTTGGGCTGTTACATATGGTATCATAGCCACTCCGCGTGCAACCTTGAATGGTGGTGGGGCAAACCTTAGCGAGGACGCTGAGTCCCTAAGGGGGGTGTATGTGACACCCTAGGCGAATCCCACATCGACAAAACATGGGAGGGATGTTGGGTATATAAGTAGACATGCCTTAGATCTTAGTGACGTATTTTAAAGTCGTACAGGCCTAGGTCCAAAGCGGACAATATCTACAGGTATGTACTTAATTTAAATTCGGGGACGAATTTCATAAGGTGGGGAGAATGTAATACCTCATGTTAAATAATGGATAGTTAAATAATTTGCAAAAAAAAAATAACAATAAAATAAAGAAGGAAGGAAATCAAGTGGGCCTTAGCCCATCTACTTCAAAGTGACGAAGCTAGAAAAGGGTTTGAAAACAAAAATCCCTTTAGCCAACCACATATCAAACGGGAAAAGAAAGAATACGTTTCTACTGTTTCTTAGCGCCGAATATCATGTTTCACTTCGTCATCGACATATATTCTTGAGCTTCAACAATAAACACCAGGTAATTACATGTAATTCTTTTTCTTTTGATACAATATTATTATATATTCATGATTCCTTATGGGACTGAATAGAGAAGATATTGGGATTGGATTAAGAGTTTAAAAGATAAAGTTAAGGGAATTGGGAAAGGGAGAAGCGCCACATTTAAACTTCTGTAGAATCAGAAGATGACAAAAATCCCTAAAGAAAGTAAAGGTTGGATTGGAGAAACAAAAAGAAGCCTAAAGCTTCACCAACGTAAAAGAAAAAATTGAGAAAATAAAAGGCTTTGATCACTAAAGCTTTGTCAACTAGGTTCGGTGAAGTTTGCAGTTGCTCTCAGTGAAAATACTTCACGGCTTAGAACAAAAAAATCAATTTCTCCTTCTTTGGAATTTGCTTGAGATATTTCCATAGTGTATGCTTTCATTGAGTACAAAAATAAAAGATTTAAATACCAATTAAGAAAGAATATCATGGACAATAATATTATCTGATTTTTGTAGTATTCATATGATTAAGGAGACCAAATAGTATAATGAGTAGACTATATGAATGACCTTTATTTCAAAGATTTTGCACTCGCTTAAGTTAACCGTAGTATGGGTAGACACAAAATTGAGGAATTGAGAACTAAACATGTGATCCCAAGGGGTGGGTATTCAAATTTAGTTATGAATTAACCCGAACAAGGAAATTAACATGAGATCAATATAATGTGATCATAGATTGATTGAAGGAAGCCGTACGGATTACTCGAGGTGACGAGTTTGGTATTTCGGCACGAGTACTGTGAGTAGTAATCTTACCACAATTTGTATTTTCATAACTTGTATGGTTTATACATTACTTTAAAAATAAAATGCGTTACAGAATATTTGAAATTTGCATGTGGGACAAGTCATTTACTTGATATGGTACTGAATAATTTACTTGAGATGTTTAAAGTTAATTAAAATATTCTCACTGTTACTAGACATATTTTACTGTTACTTGAGATATGATTACTGTTACCAAAATTGGATTACATAATTTGATAAGAATTGAAATGCTCTATACTATTTTGAAAATACTTTCATGTGAATATTTACTGTTTACAAAGAAAAGTATAAATGGGAGGAGACTTTGAAGGATCCAGTAACTAACGACGGGTTCGTTAGACTTAGTGCACCTTGTATTTATATATTACCAATTAAAGTTATAGCCCTCGCTAGTGGGAAGGTAGAACTAGTATACAGTTACAATTTTCCCTCGAGTAAGGACCTACAAGTTATATTTGACTCCTTTTACAAAGGGGTCCACACAGTGATACAGATTCCATGATTCTTTCTTGGAAATCTTTCAAACATAAAGATTTGCTATGAGACAGTGTTTACTGAGTTTATTACCGAATTGTTAATTGATTTTTATTTACATGATAAAATGGATTATGGTTTACTGTTTCTGAAAGGGCATTTTTATGATATTTTCGGGTTAATAGGCATGTTTTCTGATTGTCCCCAATTAAAAATAGTTGTGGTTAAGTGTTATTACTCATTGAGCTTGCGACTCACTCTCCACTATTTTTTTACAGAGGCAGTAGTTGACGCGAGCGAGAATTTCGTTAATTAGAATATACAAGTTGCTAGTTCCTGGTGAGTGCACTTGTTCGCGTGGGCGATTGTCTTTTATTTTGAACTCTTAGATTTGGTCCATAGTCATTCTTATTGGTGTCATGATGATTCATTCGTTATATTGGACTAGTTACTAGTATTGCACTTTCTCTCCATATTTTGAGATAGGTTTAGTATTATTATGTTGGCAATGGTATTGTTGGTGAAAATTTATTTTGGTTAGTTGATGAAACTGATTTAGGTGAATATTGGTTGGTTGTTAATTGTTTATCAGACAGGAAAACTTTTGGATAGTCCAAAAATAAGGAAAATATTTTTTAATTTTCTGTAAAATACCGATGAGGCTTACTTGGGGGCACTTGATCCCAAGCGTCGGTCATGATCCTAAATTGAGTCGTGACACTTCTGTCTGAATGTCTAAAGTTTTGATTTATTATTGTTGAACTTCAGACCCGTTATTGTTGCTTGCACGGCTTCACAAACACAGTTTTCATGATCATTCCAGACAAGTATGTGCCTCGCATTTACTCTAGCCCGGCCACAAGGTCATGTTCTTAGTTATTATTCACAAAATTGCAGGCCGGTAGGATGAATTTTCGCGTTCCAAATTGTCAAATAAGGACCATGTTGAGTTGATGCATCATCTCCACCACGTCCCAACATCATAACCAACAAGATTCTTCATCACATTTGTTGTATATGGCTCCCAGCAAGCCAGAAATACTCCCCAAATGCACTTATGATTTATGATTAAAAAAAAACTAAAAAACCAGAATTACCACTGTCAACGTCTTAAGAACTCACGCATCTCCTCATGGAGCCACCAGACGGTACCAATCCGGCGCGTTCGACAGCCCAATCAAAACCCCAAGCTGGCCGACTCAACCTATGGAAGGAATCACATGGAAGAATTCATATGCCACTAGAGTGACCCCACACACAACTGCGACGTTATCTGGACATGGATGTGAAGCTGTAATTGCCAGAAAGACTACGCATAATGGAATGCATGCTGTAATATTCAAGGCCAAAGACTACTATTGAGTCATGGCAAAGCAATGTAAAAGAGCTATTGTAGGAAGATTTATCAAAATCAGACCACAAATTGAGAAAATCAGGTTAAGATTTGCGGAGAAATTTGCCCTAAAGGAATCAGTTAAAATTTAAGTTTATGATAATCACAATATTTTTTGGATTTTACCAACCAAGGGGATGTCAACACTATATGGTTCACGGGGGTAATCGAGATTGAGGGCTGTCAAATGTGGCTTCAGAAATGGACGTCAGATTTCAAGCCGGAAGAAGACATCCTGATTGTTCTAGTTTGGATTCTATTACCTCAACTACCATTTCACATGCATACTTGGCACTGTGTCAAGCAGGTAGCTAGTGAAGTTGGGACTCCATTAGAGATGGATATTGCAACTTCTTACGGAACCCATCCTAGTACGGCGAAGGTTAGAGTGGAAGTCGATCTATTGAAATTATTGTCTGGGTAGGATCAGAAGATGAAGAATCGCCATTGAATGGTTTTACACATATGGTGGAGTATGAAGGGGTCCCCAAGTATTGCAGGCACTGTAAAAAAACTCATACATTCTTTTATTGAATGTAGGGTATTGGAGAAGAGGAAACAGGCAGAACAGGGGGAACTAGAAAGAATTGAAGAAAAGGCTCAAGAGGGTAATACATTGGCAGACAAGAAGGCAAATGAAATCAAAGAGAACGAAAAGATACAGAAGGATAATCAACATATAAACAACTCCAGTGATGAGGCAAGTAACAAAGAATCAATTGAAATAGAAAATATGAAAGAGCATGGAGTGGGGAAAGTGAATGAAACTAGAGAGAAACAATATAACAAAAAAGAAAGCCATCCTGAGAATGCAGAGAAGGATGAAAGTACCAAGATTGAGAATGCAGGAAAGGAAGAATTAACCAATGCAGAAAAGGTAGAGATCACAGAAGAAGATAACACTATGAGAAAAAGAACAAGAAGGAAGAAAAAGCGAAATAAAAGTGAAAATAAAGTTTCTATAAAAGAAACCAAATGTGACATTCAAATCGGGGGTAAGCATGATGATGGGAAAAAGAAAGAGGGCAAGCAAAGGAACATAGAGAACCTCACAAAAGAAAGGGGAACAAGCCAATCAAGACGAAGATCAAATAGCGGGGACAAGTCCTAAAATGGGCAGTTCCAATAATATAGTTAATGAGGAGGAAAATATAAACAAAACACCACAAACTAGCTCAAAAGTCTAGGGAAAACTAAAGCAGGACTCTATTGAAAAATCAAGCAGTAGTATTCAGAGAGTGGAGGAATCTATAGTGGAGTCGTCAAGTTTTGGAACAGAAATTAAAAACCAGCCGGGTATTTAGTTAGTGGTGGATCTTGGGAAACATCAGATGACTGTCCAAAAAATAAAGAAGGATTGCTCAGAGAAACTTGAGGTGGAAACTTCAAATAACTCGAAAGATGAACATGTCGATAGCTTGATTAATGATCAAGAAGATAGCTATCAACAACATCTAAAATAGGTGGTGGATAATGAAGGGTCATCACCTAGAGGAAGAAGCAAAGGCAGAAGCAGAAGTAGGAGCAAGAAAAGCGAATAATGAGGTAAACTAAAATCCAAACCTCACTCAGATGGGAGGACACAAAGCCAACAATCTTAACTGATTTTATGATCGGTACTATATTTTAGAATATATGGGGAATGAGATCCCAGAAAATCAATCATAGGCTTAAAAACTTAGTAAGAAATAATAAGGTTCAGTTCGTTGTTGTTTTTGAACCATTTGTTCACAAACAAAAAAATAGAATGATACAAAAGATTTTTGGGTTTTGAACATTGTATGTCTAATGATATTGGAAAAATATGATAGTTTTTGGATAGAGTATGTGAATGCTATTGTGCTAAGTATGTAGACCAACAAATGAATCTATGGTTTGAAATAAATAATGATGATGATGGGATTTTTATAATGGTTGTTTATGCTAAGTGTACCTCTGGGGAGAGGAAAGATCTGTGAGAAAGTCTGGTGAATACAGAGTCAAAGATTGATGGTTCATGATGTATAGAAGGGGACTTTAATGTTATTCTGGAACCTTGAAAAAAGTTAGGAGGCATACCACATAGAGCCTCAAAAAGCTATGATTTTACAGAATGTCTTGATCTTTGTGGGGTATCAGATGCTGGGTATGTTGGCTCAATTTATACCTGGTGTAATTAATGGTATCCTAAAAAGGGTCTGGAAAAGGTTTCATCGAATCCTGACTAATGATTCATGGATCCACACATTTCAGAATACAGTAGTGAGGCATCTCAGTAGATCAGGATCAGATCATAGGCCTTTGTTAGTAAAGCATAAAGAGGATCAAGCAGATCATATCAAATACTTCAAATTCTTAGACTTCTGAGTTGATCAACCAGGATTTATACGAATTAGTGCAAGAGGTTTGGGGTATGTAGATGGATGGGAATCCGATGTGAAAACTTCAGTAGAAACTAAAAGCATTGGCAGGAAACTTAGAAAATGATCCAGAGAAGAGATCGGTGATGTGTATAAAAAGGTTGATGAATAGGAGAAGGTGGTACAAAATGGAATAATTAGATCTGAACAACAACTCTGAACAGTCCAAAACAGAGTTGAATAAAGCTGAAGCAAAGTATGTAAGATGGATGGCAATGCAAGAGTCTATACTTAAGCAAAAATCCCAAGTAAAATGGTTCAAGGAGGGAGACTACAATAGTAGATATTTTCACAATGCTATGAAGGGTAGAAGGAGAAGGTTGCAGCTCCACAGAGTGAAGAATCATAGAGGAAGATGGATACAAGGTGATGAAAAGATATCCAAGGCTGCAGTCCAATATTTTGAATCCATGTTTAATCTGAATCCTACTGTGTTGGATAGTGATATTATCAGTTGTATCCCCGAATGCATTACCAGGGAAGACAATGATCTCCTATCACAGATGGTTAGTGAAGATGAGATCAAAGAAGCGGTTTTTGATATAAGTCCAGCAAGTCCAACAAGTCCAGATAGATTCAATGGCACTTTTTATCATAAATATTGGTCTATTATTTCTAAGGATGTCATAGAATTTGTCAAGAGCTTCTTCAATGGAAACAAGATGATAAGATTTTATTCTCATACATGTTTGGTTTGAATACCAAAAGTTAAATCCCCATCAATATTTGTTGAACTCATGGCAATAAGTCTGAGCAATTTTTCTGTTAAGACCATTTCTAAAGTCTTGGCCAGAAGACTCAATCCAATGTTGCCTAAACTGATTTCAGAGAATCAAAAAGGATTTGTGAAGGGTCGACTTATCACTGATAATATGTTTCTTGCTCAGAAAATAATTCATGGGAAATCAGAACCTAATATAGGTGAAAATATGGTGATAAAACTGGATATGGCTAAAACATATGAGAGAGTATCTTGGGAGTTTCTGTTATCTGTCCTAAGGAACATTGGTTTCTCTAGCTGGTAGATTGAGGTAATTGGTAGGCTGATCTCAGAGGCATGATATTCAATTATTGTTAATGGCACAAAGAGTGGTTTATTCACTTCATCTCAAGGCTTGAAGCAAGGGGATCATTTATCCTTATCTTTATTTATTTTAGGAGGTGAGGTCTTCTCTAGATTATTGAATAGACTATATGATGATCAGAGATTTATTCTATTTTTCATGAATAGTAGAATGCCTAGAATTAACCACCTGGCGTATGCAGATGACATGGTTATATTTTGCGTAGGTAAGAGTAAATCTATAAAGCTAGTGATGAAGCAGATTAGGCTTTATGAAAAAAGCTCTGGGCAGAAAGTGAATGAAAACAAGAGCTTCTTTTGTACGTCTCCAAAAATATCTATTTCCAGAGTTAACAGGATGATAGATAAAACTGGCAACAAGCATAAGCAATTTCCCTTCAATTATTTGTCATGTCCATTATATATAGGAAAAAAGAAGCTGAGTTACTTTGATGAGCTCCTTACCAAGATTAGAAAAAAAAACCTCTGGTTGGAAATGCAAGCTTTTGTCTTATGGAGGAAAAGTGATATTGATAAAGCATGTTCTTCAAGCACTCCCAGCTTATACCTTAGCAGCAATGAATCCTCCTAAGGGCACATTTAAACTAATGGAAAGGCATTTGGCGAGATTCTTTTGGGGTACAAGCAATGATAAGCAAAGAAATCATTGGTATGCTTGGGAAATCTATGTTATTCCAAAGAGGAAGGAGGAATTGGAATAAAGAGGATGGAAGCAATTAGTGACTCATTTGCTTATAAAAGGTGGTGGAAATTCAGAACTGAACGCTCTTTATGGGCATCCTTCTTGAGAGCAAAGTACTGCTCTAGAGTACATCCTGTAGCTAAAGCCAGTAGTTCAAAACAGTCACATCCATGGGGAAAATTGATGAAGATCAAGAAGAAGGCAGAACAGAACCTCACTTGGAAAATACAAATGGGCAACAATAATCTATTGGCTGAGCTAATGCCATGTCAGGCAATGTTTTCTAAAGACGGGGTGGAATATTATATTCAAGGAGGTACATGAAATGTTATGAAGTTAGCAGAGATTATGCCTGAACACATGATAAGTCAAATTACCAAATTAAGGATTGGAGATCAAAATGCACAAGACTATATTATTTGGGACCCTACAACAGATGGTCAATTTTCAACCAAGTAGGCTTATTACCTTACTATCATGCCAAGGCAGAAGGATAATTTCAGGTATAAGGTTTGGTACCCTAAACTTTCTTTTAAAATATCATTCTTGGCTTGGAGATTGATACAAAGGAAGTTGTCATTTGATGATACCATGTGAATATTTGGAGGCAACATTGCATCAGATTGTGTCTGTTGCAATGATACAAAGAGGGAGACTCTTCAACATGTATTTCTAGAAAGTAATATTGCTAACAAAATGTGCAGAAATTTTGGTAGACCTTTGGGCATTGATAAAAAGGCCACATCAATTAACAACCTGCTAAAGAAATGGTGGGAAACTAGGCCAAAAAATGGGGTACATAAAATGGTGCTACACATCACACCAATTGTGATTCTATGAAAAATTTGGAAGCACAGATGCGCATGTAGATATAGGGAACAGAAAAAAATATGGCGGAGAACCATGGAACACCAGATTTGGTGGATAATTAAGATGACTATGGGGAGAACTTTCAAAAATTGCGACTTTTAGAACTCATGGATGGAATTATGTGGAATAATTGAAAGATTTAAACCTACTCCCAAATGAAAGATTGTTGAGTGGTTGAAACCTCTTTTAACACAGAGTGATGATCAATAGTGATGGTAGCTTCTCAGAAGGAAAAACACGAATTTGTGGGGTTGTTAGAGACAATATAGGTGGTATGATTATTTCATATTCAATTCCAATTGTATATTCTAGTAACAATCTGGCAGAAGCACAAGCAGCACTTTTTGGTGTGCAATGTGCCTGTAACATGGTTATATAAATTGTGACTTAGAAATGGACTCACTGGTAATTGTAGATATGCTGAAAAATGGACACTCGACTAACTTGAAACTGAAGGACTCAATTGATGCATTGCGGCAGACTATCTCCAGTTAAATTGCACAGTTTCTCATTGTTTTAGAGAAGCGAACCAAACTGCTAATAGTTTGACGAAGTTTGCAGCTAGATTAATTGATCCTTGTATGTATTTTGACTGGCATTGTTTGCCTAGAAATGTAGTTGGATCTTACCAACTAAATAAAATGCAGCTACCTAGCATTAGGCTAAGGTATGACAAGGCTAACCTTTTTGTAAGCTAAGGTATTATACTGTTCATATAGGTGAACATAGGTTAAGGTGAAAGGTACCTTGGCCTACTTTTGGAGTGTTGGCAGATGCCACACTATTGTACCTGGTTGGGAGCTAATATATGAACACTTAAGAAAAGAAAAAAAGTTATGATAAAAAAAATATTTTTCAAAATAAGTTGATTTTGGCAGCTTGGCTAAACAGAATGCCACCCCAAGAAATGATGAGAATTTTATTTTATTATTGCATTGTAATAAAGGGGTCTAAAACTGCATTTTTCTCTATCTTTTTCTCTTTTGGTCATGGTTTGACTAGTGTCATATAAACAATAAGTAGAGAATACCAACAAAATCCCCTTAATTAAGTACGTTAAAAAAAAAAGGAAACGTACAGATCATTAGTTTGGAATGTGAAGTTAAGTTTTGAAGCAAAGTTTACGTCATCAGTGACTTACTAATGGCAAATATTTGATATCTAGTAACTTTCAAAGTAAATAAGGCATAAATAATGCAGTCTTACTCATAGTGTAGGTAAGATCACCAATAAAGTGTCTTTTTTAAACTGTTAATTGAAAATTCCATGAGTTTTGAGGAGAAAATAAGTATGAAGAGAACTTATTTCATGTGAAGTCTTTTTTGCATTTTTGTCAGTTACGTACTTTTAACGCTATGGATCTTGTCAAAGAAAGGTAAATAATAAAGGCTTTCGATCCAAAGGGACACTTCAGCATTATCTCTTCTTTGCAATGCCTATATATTGCCTTACTGTTGAGATTTAAGAGGTCCCAAAATCCTCAACCATTTCATTTATAATCTCTTCTCTTCACAGTTACAATTTTTAAATATTTTGCTACGCATTTACTTTACAATATGCTGAACTGTTGATAAATTAGGAGGTGAAAATTCTCTATTTAACATAGAGATTTATCTTTACATGATCACAAATGTAACGAAAATCGGGATTAATATAAACTGTAAACAGTTATAAAATTAAATAACTAAATAATAAAAGTAAAAAGGGTCTCCTCTTTACACTTTAAAACTTATAAATGAAACATCCCTCTATTTTATCCTTCTTACTTAGTATTAGTACCCGCGCAATGCCCGGACAAATATTAAATTATGATTTAGGTTATTTAGATTATATAAAAATTACATTAAAATTTAAACCTTTCAGATAAAAATTACATATAATTATCAGATATTAGATAAGAATTATGACATAAAATTGTTTCTCATTTTCGTACTGGATAATATGTTTTACTTGCATACATCATATTTGGGTAATTTTGAGATTGCCACTTGGCTTAAGGAGATGACTTCTTTCTCTCCTTTTAATAATATATGGATTATTGATATTACGTTACCTAATATATAATATTTCATGTTTTCATGTGGCCTTCATTAACTTTCTTCTTTATTTAATATCATTATCCATTTATATCCTTTAATATAATATTGATCAGTGTGTGATTTTTTAATCTTGATATAAATATTTATATTATTTTAATTTAATACTCAAAATTATTAAACTATTTAAATTTATTGATAATATTTTTAAGTATTATATAGTAAATTTTCAATATTTTGAATTAGTTAATTAATTAATTAAAAAATAAGTTATATGTGGCGTTTCTGATTCTGCCATATGGCTAAATTAGTTACTAGTTAATAGTTAAATAGTCAATACCTTACATGTGGCTAATTTTAAAGCTGTTGGATCAATTAGAGGGCTTCTTTCTCTCCTTTTAATAATATATAGAATAGATTTATCTAGTAAAACTTTAATTTTATGGTCATATCCATAGTTTGAGCGTTTTTATCATAATTTTAATATAATCTCAAGTTCAAATCATCTTTTCCTTCTATTTCTAATATTAAATATTTTTAAATTTTTATTTATTGCTATTAAATTACCTAATATATAATATTTCATGTTTTCATGTGGCCTTCATTAACTTTCATCTTTATTTAATATCATTAACCATTTATATCCTTTAATATAATATAGATCAATGTGTGATTTTTAAATCTTGATATAAATATTTATATTATTTTAATTTAATACTCGAAATTATTAAACTGTTTAAATTTATTAATAATATTTTTAAGTATTATATAGTAAAATTTCCAATATTTTAATTTAGTTAATTGATTAATTAATTAAGAAATAAGTTATATGTGGCTTTTTCTGGTTCTGCCATATGGCTAAATTAGTTATATTAGTTAATAGCTAATTAATCAATACATTACACGTGGCTAATTTTAAAGTTGTCGCTTGGCTTAAGGAGAGGGCTTCTTCCTCTCCTTTTAATAATATATAGATTTTAATCTAATCTCAAGTTCAAATCATCTTTCCCTTCTATTTCTAATATT